GGGGGGGGGGGGGGGGGGGGGGGGGGGGGGGGGGGGGCGCTATGGGAGCTCATATGCAATCCTCCACCAGAAAGGATTTTCCTTTTCTTATATTAAGCAGATAGAGTGAAGGGCTGATCACCTCAATCCTATTATTGATTAAACCAGTTAAGGAAGGATCATAGATTTTTTTTTTTTTAATTTTACTTTGTCAATATACAATGTGGTTGATTATTGTGGCCCATTACCGAAGGATCATAGATTTATGAACAGTCACAAAAACAAAGACAAGTCAGTTGTTCCAATTCTGAGTTGTTCCTATTCTCAAGCATGATTGTGATGGTTAATTTTAGGTGTCAACTTGACTAGAGTAAGGAATACCTAGAAACCTGGTAAAGCAATATTTTTGCGTGTGTCTGTGAGGGTGTTTTCAGGAGAGATTAACATGTGACTCTGAATGGACTAGGTGGTGAAGACCTGCCCTCAAATATGGGCAAGCACCATCCAATCTGCTGCGAGCCTGGTGAGAACAAAAACAGAGGAAAAGACAAAAATCTCTCTATATATTCACTCTAGAGTATATCTGGGATATACTCTTTTCATCCATCCATTTATATTAGAACTCCAGACTCCCCAGCCTAGGGATTCCAGGACTTATACCAGTGGCAGCCCCAGGCTCTCAGGCCTTTGGCCTCTAACTGAGAATTACATCATCAGGTTCCCTAGCTCTGAGGCTTTTGGAATTAGACTGAGCCATGCTACCAGCATCCCAGGCTCTCAGTTTGTAAACGGCCTATGGTGGGACTTCTCAGCTTCCATAATTGTGTGAGCCAATCCCCTAGTAAATCCCCTCTCATATATCTATATATCTATATATCCTATTGGTTCTGTCTCTCTGGAGAACACTAATACAATGATCTTTCCAGGCTTTTGATTGACAGCCTAGAAGGTCTCTGACTTCTCAGTCCTGAAAGTTCTACCCATCAGAGATTTTGAGCTGAGTTCTCTTTCCCATGAAGTTCAAAATATAGCAAATGTATGGAGAGGAAGACTAGTTGTTGCTTGTTGCAGGTCCTCTCCCTCTAGTGGGATTTATCCCCTATGCACCACAAGACTGCAGAAATTTTCCTCTGTGTTTCTGGTATAGCCTCTAGATTTCCACACCATCCCAGAACTCAGCAAATGTCCTATGGGAAAAACCAATCTTGTGCTTGGAGCTCCTTTAGTTTTGCCAGCTTCTCTTTTCTTTGGTAGTCTTCTCTGCTTGCACCATACCTGATGCCTAATCTATACCTAAAATCAGCAAAAGACTTAAGGGAAGAAAACAGAGTCATCTCACTAGCTCTTCCCTCTTTGAAATTTTAGTTCATCTAGTCTTCATCACTTCTACAACTCTCCAGTGAATTTTAAAATATAATTCATGCAATTTATTTGCTTCTTTATAATTGTTGCAGTGGGTATGTTGCCTGATATGACCTACTACAATCTATCTGGTGATGAAATACGGTGAAGTCATAATACCAGATCTTAAAAATCCATATGGCATCCTCTAATGACTATATCTAGATAATAATCATCATGGCTGCTAACATAACAAAACAAGAGACAATCAGACATTATTCGCCTCCTGATGGAAGAATGAAAGAGATTTAAGGGACATAGCAATCAACTGCAACATATGGACCTTCGATCCTGATTTGAACAAATTATTAAAAAAAAGAGAGAGACAATCAGGAATTCTGAACACTAACTGGTGAATGAGATTAAGGAATTTCACCTTTTTTTTAGGTGTTTGCTTTTTTTAGGTGTGATAATGGCGTAACAGTTTTATTTTTAAAAACTCATCTTTTAGAGATACATAATAAAATATTTACAGCAAAAATTGCATGTTGGAGATGTGTCAAAATAATCTGAGCAAGGGAAGGAGAGGGTGGAGTTATAGATAAAACAACATTAATAACTGTTAGAGCATAGTAATGGGTACCTGGGGGTTCAATATTCGAGTCCCATTTTTTTATGTGTGTTTCAAATTCCCCATAATTAAGTTTTTTGTTTGTTGTTAATACCATGTGTGTTGTCCATTATATTAGCTACCCTGGACAGGTAATCTTTGTGCCTTGGAGTCTCTGAGGAACATGGACTCCAGGCTCTCGGGACCTCTGAAATTCTAGAATTTCTTATGGTATTTCAATAATGTTCAAAATGTTCTGGAGCAGAATTTGAAGCTAGATATAACTCACACGAGGAAATCAGTCTGGGGGCTTTTAGCTGCATCTCCTTTTTGACCCAAACCAGTATTATACTGTGATCAACTGCCAATCTTATTATCAAACCTTCAAAGTTATGATAAACACTGGTCATTAATGCAAGCCTAAAGACATGATGCTCTAAGTAGTACAATAAGTATTGTTTATTAACTACCCGAGAAAGGGATGTCCTTAATAAACGGTTTACTCTAAAATTCTCCAAATTCTTAGGCCAGCCCGTGGCTCACTCAGTAGAGTGTGGTGCTGATAACACCAAGGCCATGGGTTCGGATCCTATATAGGGATGGCTGGTTGGCTCACTGGCACCAAGCCAAGGGTTAAGATACCCTTACCGGTCAGCTTTTAAATAAATAAATAAATAAATAAATAAATAAAATTCTCCAAATTCTTAAGCTAGGACCATGTAACAAAAGTCAAATTTAAAGATTTTGACTGGGTGGATTTGTTTCAATGAACAATGGTAAGCAAAATGTGATCACGTACTATATACCTAATATTATAAATTCACATCCAATAAAAACAATCATTCTAATCCTCTCACAAAAGAGACATTGGGCAGGTGCAGATAAACAAACTAGCTCATTGGTATTATCTGGGATACTTGAATATACATGAGGTGTGGGGACATTCTCACCTCTCTGGCTGTGTGGTTCCCCAGGACTGCAGCACCAAATTTGCCCTGCTTTACATATTGACCATTTATGCTAGAGAAGCAAGAAAAACAACAGGTATTAGTAATCTTTTAAACTACACAGTGCCAGCTTTCTTTTCTGGCATATAAAGGTGGGGGAATCTAGTCATTCAGCCTCGAGAAAGTGACAGAGGTGAGCAGTTTATAATTTAAATCTCTTACACAACTTCTTTACTCTTTAAATATCTATTATTCATGATATCTCAGTGAAGCGGCTTTGAGAACTATGACAGTTGTTGAGCATACAAGCACTTCCTAAAGAGTGCAGACAAGGGGCCGGCCCGGTGGCGCACTGCTACAGTGCGCCGCTTGGGAGCGCAGCGGCGCTCCCGCCGAGGGTTCGGATCCCACATACAGACCGGCCGCTCACTGGCTGAGCGAGGTGCGGACGCAACACCGATGGTTGCAATCTCATTGCCGGTCCTGGTCTGGTACGGGTGCGACACTGAGGGTTGCGATCCGTTGCCGGTCACGAAAAAAGACAAAAAGGGAAAAAAAAAAAGAGTGCAGACAAAATAATGGCTCTTCAAGTTTTATGTGCAGAAATCTCCAACTGAAATGTTGAAAGTATTACTGATACTTTGTCTATGAAAGGGCTGAGTAATCATTTTGCAATGAGACAGGGGCTTAACAGCATTCCCCTCCACCAAACTTCTAAAAGCATTTCTTCTCAGCTACTTACTATCGATATGCATGGACTGCTGTTGCAACCAGTACTGTAGAAGTGCCCGTGGTGGCTGGTGCTGTTTTTGGTGTTGCCTGATTTCCTGAAAATGAAGTTAAAACAAAGGTGTTATTCATTTCTTGCTTGAAACTGATTTTCAACCATTACACTAGCTTCAAAATTCTTTATACCTTACAGTTAGTGTCGCAATGCTTTCATGACCATTATCCCTCATTTGACCCACAAAACAGCCCTATGACCTAGTCTGGGAATGAAAAAACTGAGGTTCTAAGCACCCACATATCTTATGCAATTACAGTAGAAAGCCTAGGACTATAGAACACATGACTCCAACTCCCAAACCATATACCCCAAACAAAAGTGTTTGGGCTGGACAAGAAGCATTGTCTAGAAAGTGAGGTCATATTTCATCTACTTTCTTTTCTCTTTCCAATATTTAACAGCTATAATATACATGGGTACTTCAGAAAGTTCATGGAAAATGGAATTAAAAGACAATACCAATCTTTCCATGAACTTTTTGAAGACCACTTATATAAAGTTATTTCCCCTTTGCTTACTTGAAGGAAATGAAATTTAGGATGATATTCAAATCACACCCATTACTTCACAAAGTGCTACACACTAATAGTAATGTTTTAAAATAGTATATTAAGAGTAAATCACATAATTATGCTATGTGAATGTGTTGATGGAAGAGGACTGAGGTAACATTGACATGGACATAACAATCAAGAACTTATTTTCAAAAGCACTCGTTTTATTTCTTTTTTTTTTTTTTGTATTGACACCTTTTTTTCTGATTACGGAGTAGAGATACATTGTAGAAAACTTAGAAAATATACAGGTGCATAAAGAAAATAAAAATCACCTATAACCCCACCACCCCAAAATAAACAATGTATTTTTTTTTTTTAAAAGATGACCAGTAAGGGGATCTTAACCCTTGACTTGGTGTTGTCAGCACCACGCTCAGCCAGTGAGCGAACCGGCCATCCCTATGTGGGATCCGAACCCGGGGCCTTGGTGTTATCAGCACCGCACTCTACCGAGTGAGCCACGGGCCGGCCCTAAACAATGTATTTAATGTATCTATTCCTAGTCCTTTCTCTGTAGACTAAAGTCTGCAGCTTTTTTGTTATTTTTAAAAATAAAATTAACAATACAATTTAACATCCTCCTTTTCTCAGTACATTATAAGCATTTCCCTATCTCTTCAAAACAAGTCTCCAAAACAAAGACAAAATAGTCCTAAAAAGGCTTTTTAGTGACTACATAAAGTGCTATATTATAACTCTACCAGAATTTACCCAGTTTCCTATTACGTGATATTTCTCTGGGCTTTTTCAAATTTTTCTTTATTATACATAATGCTATGGTGAACATCTTTAAAACATACATTTTTGCATGTAACTCTGATTATTTTCTTAGAATAAAATTCTAAAAATAGAATTACGGGGTGGAGTATAAAAAATTTTAAGGTTTTGTTACATCCTGCCCAAATGTTCTTAAGAAACGCCATACCAGTTTACACCCTACCAGTCGTACGTCAGTTTTGCATCCTTGAAAACAGAGGGAATTATCTTTTTAAATCTTTTTTTTTTTTTTTTTTTTGACGCTGGCCACTAAGGGGATCCAAATCCTTGACCTTGGTTTTACCAGCATCATGCTCTAACCAAGTGAGCTAACTAGCCAGCCCTTAAATCTTTACCAATGTGATGGGGGCAGTAGGGAAAGAGCGATGCCATCTCGTTGTTTTCCCTTGCATCTATTGATTACTGGGAAGCAGAAATTTAACATTTTTTGTACACTTTTTAAATGACTTGCTTTTTTTTAAATTTTTTTTTTTTTTTTTTTTTTTTGACGCTGGCCACTAAGGGGATCCAAATCCTTGACCTTGGTTTTACCAGCATCATGCTCTAACCAAGTGAGCTAACTAGCCAGCCCTTAAATCTTTACCAATGTGATGGGGGCAGTAGGGAAAGAGCGATGCCATCTCGTTGTTTTCCCTTGCATCTATTGATTACTGGGAAGCAGAAATTTAACATTTTTTGTACACTTTTTAAATGACTTGCCCATTTATGTTGTTTGCTTATTTTCATGTTTTCCTTAGTGTTTTGTAAAAACCTACAACATAGTTTTAAATTCAATCAGCATGTTACAGTTGTATGTAATACTACAATAAACCTTTTCTCTTGATAAGCAGGCTACGGCAGAAAACAAGTAACTAAGGCCAGAGTTAGGTTATCAGGATAAGGGACAAGTCTGGAACACTGAGAAAAATTACTGTTTCCCCAACGTCAGCCCAGCATCCTCCTTCAGGTTAGTTCAGCTTTTCCCAGTGCACACAGACCAGTATCTCCCTATCTAAGCCCCTGGACAGTGAAGGTTGTTTGATGATTTGCCAGAAAGATAAGTGTGTCAGATACCCACTATCATGGGGATCTTCACGTTGGTTCAGCATTCCTCCCTCTCTGAAATCAGTATTATACAAATTCTTGAATTCTTTTTATCTCTTAATTTATTTTTATCTTTTATTTTTTAAAATTCCTCCCTTTAATCTTCTATTTATCTTAAGCAGAAATCTGTTGTGTTTATACATTTCTGTGTTCCCTCTAGTTTATTCTTCATTTCTGAAATAATTTTTCTTACATTTCTAATTCTTGCCTGAGCCCTGTCATATACTTCTGAGATTTTCTAATTCTCATTTATGTTCTCTGGCCCACGCTTCTCTGTCACTCACCCGCCGCTGGACTTCGAGTGCCTTTGGCAGAGTTTTGGAGAGCAGTGTCCACATGAGGCAGAAGAACTTGCCTGAGACCTTCTCCATCAGTTTCCAACAAAGGGCACACTATCCTGCTGCTGGAATTCAGGATCCCAGAGCTTAGAGAGGCATCCACCACTGGTGGTGAGCTTAACCAGACCAGTCAAAGATAGATGACCTGGCATGTCACTTTCCAACTAACCTGTTAAGGCACAATTCTAATGCCCCTTAACTTACCTGTTGCTGCTGTTCCTTGGCCTTTCTTAGGTTGCTTTGGAGCTGTGTACTGGAAGAATTCATTTCCATGGCCAGTAGGTGTCTGATCCAGTCCAAAAAGAGAGGCCAATCTGGCACTGTTAAGTAGAAAACAAAAATGAAATTTCATTTGACATATCCCAAGCTGGAATCATAATAAGAGCTGCTCACCTCCAACCTTGAATAAATACCTCCTTGACTATATATCCCACCATTCAAAACTGGAAGTAGCAGTTAAGAGTCTTTGAAATCAAGATTGTATTTCTGATCTTGATATCATTAGCAGACCCTACCCATCCACAGGACTTTGGTCAAGGCATTTCTTCTCTCTAGATCTCTGTTTCCCCAACTATAAATTGAGGTGATTAGTCCAGATACTGTCTATGGTTTCTTCAAAGTGTAAATTCTTGCTTTTAGCAAATCATAGCTTCCAGTCACACCTACTGATTACTCCCCTTCCTGCTCTGTACTAGTTTTTTCAATTGAAATGAAACTGTACTACAAATTTACCCATCAAACATGATTCCTGCCGACATTTCGTCTAAGAGGAAGGACAATTCTGTTGTTATTCCTTGCAAGTAATCTTATGCCCCCACCATTACACTGAAACTGTTCTTGCTAAAGTCACCAATAACCTCTTTGTTACTAAACCCAGCTTATCAGTCCTTATCTTATTTGCTATCAAGCCACCTTTTTCACTAATTTGTTCTTCTTCAAACAAACTCTTCCCTTGACTTCTGTGGGAGTAGCTGAGGGAGAAGGAGGAGGGACAGGTAAATAAATGCTAAAGGGATCCCTCTCTTGTTTTCTTCCCATCTCTCTGGCTTCTCATTTAATTCCTTGGGCTCTTCATCCTTTGCCCAATATTTAAATGTCCCCAAGGTTTCAAATTCTCTCTCCTTTGGCAATCTCATTTATTTACCTTGGTATCAAATGCTACCAAATGCTGATGATGCTCAAATCTGTATCCCCAGCCCAGAACTTGCTCCTGAGTGCCACACAACACAGATATCCCACAGGTAACACAAATGCAACATGTCCAGACCAGAACTCATACCCTCCAATCCCCACTGTCCAGCAAACCAGTTCTTCCTCTTGTGCTCCAAGACCACCGCCAGGTTCAATGATTCCCTAGAAGCACTCACAGGACTCAGCATATAGTTGTACTCATGGCTAAGATCTATTACAACAAAGGGTTACACAGCAAAAGCAGCAAACGTAAAAGGTGATTGGGGCAATGTCCAGAGGAAACCAGGTGCAAGCTTCTAAGAGTTCTCTCCCAGTGGAATGACACAGGACTGCTTTATTCCTCCAGCAAGAAGTTGTAACAACATATGTGAAGTGTGGTCTATCAGGGAAGCTAATCAGAGACTTAGTGCCCAAGGATTTTTGGAGACTAGTCACACAGACACCCTCTGCTGAGCATGTACCAAAATTCCTGACTCCTAGAAGGAAATGAGGTGTTCAGTATGAACCATACTGTTTGTACAAACAATGTAGGCACAGCAAGCCACCCTTGTCCTTTATGGAAAGCTTTATATCAGTGTGGGGAACTGTTTACTAATCAAATTCCCAGATGCCAGCCAAGTGTCAACCTGTAAGCAGAGATTTCTAAGGATAACAGTCTCAAGCCATCTTTGTTAACTCTTTTCTGCAAACATCCACAACAAAAACCCAAATCTGGGCATCATCCTTGACTTTTTCCCTCCTGGTGGTCACACCCATTCCCCAAGTCCATTTGATTTTACTTCCTAAATATTTCCCACACCCATTCAATTCTCCCCATCCTCACTGTCACTTCCCTAGTTCAGGCTACTATCACATCTTTCTAGCTTGAATTATTATAACAACCTCCTGATTCATGTCCCTGCCTTGGTTTTGTCTGCTTATCTATTCTATCACATCCACAGTGATCTTTCTAAAAACCAAATTTGACTAAGTCTCTCTCCTCCTTAAACCCCCCAATGACTCCTCAATACTATCAAGAGAAAAATCCAAACTCTGCAAGACAGCTTTACAAGGCCCTTCAAGATCTTACCTCTCCTTACTTCCCCAGCTTTGTATATCATCATTTCCCATCTTCAACAGTACTCTACAGGCATCCTAACGAACTTTTAGTTTCTCAAATAAGGTAAGATCTTTTGCATCTCCAGCCTTTGGACATGCTGTTCCCTATGCCTGAAACCTTCCTGTTCCTCCCCTCCCCTGGAAGCTACCTCTAATCTCAAAGTCTAGGTTAGATGGTCTTCCTAGGGACTCCCACAGTCCTCTATATTTCATTCATTCAAGAAACATGTGTCAGACACTGTGCTAAGTGGTAGGTATACATTGGTAAGCAAAATTGAATTCCATTTTCAAGGAGCATATAATCTAACTAGGGAATCAGCCATTAAGTACTATATCATTGCGAACTGTAATATGAGGTATTTAACAGGGGCAGCTGTTGTATGGAGTTGTACTCCATTGAGATTAATACAATTCAATCATTTATCATATAACATGGTAATTGGTTATTTATTATAATCACTACTTGAATGTATATTTTCCCCAGGGCCTGGTATATAATAGGCTCAATAAATGAACTCAAAATCTAGTCTAGGGCCGGCCCCGTGGCTCACTTGGGAGAGTTTGGCGCTGGTAGTGCTGAGTCTGCGGGTTCAGACCCTGTATAGGGATGGCCGGTATGCTCACTGGCTGAGCGTGGTGCCGATGACACTGAACCGAGGGTTGCGATCCTGTTACTGGTCAAAAAAAAAAAAAAAAATCTAGTCTAGGTCTGAATTCTTCTTCTCCAAAAGCGTCCTCAGTTTAGGTGAAGTAAACAATGAAACTTCCCAACAACTTTTTGGCTTTTTTTAAAAATGATTTTTTTGTATACATAAATACATACTAGCATTTTGCAAAATAAATTTAATATAATCTGAAATTACTACCTTGTTTTCTCAAAGTAGTTTACTATAAGTTTCCTTTCGGTTTCCTGTAAATGGGGCCAAAAATGCTTACTGTAAAAAACTAAGAGGTTTAAATGAGATCGCAAATGTAATACTTGAGAGAGAGAGCAGGGCTGGCCTAAATAAGACATCAACGAATGCTAATGGAATTTAGAAGAGACCAAGATTTCTCCTTTTAGCTAGGACAATCTGGGCAGATTCTCTAAGAGAATAAGATTCTGGGCAACTTGGGAAATGCTTTTAACATAGTGAAAAATTCATAAAGCTTAGAGTCCAGTTAAGATATAATAGCTATGCTATTATAAAGCTTAGAGTCCAGTTAAGACATAATAGCTATGATAAGAAAAGAATGTCCTTGTTAGCTTCAATAAACTATGAGTATTGGGTTGCCTGTTTTAATTCTGCAGGTATGTCCTTTTCCAAAGGAAAGATAAAAGTGTCATAAGTAAACTGTGTTTCCAAAGATGTCATAAAGGTTAGCCAACTGATAATTGCAAAATCAATCCAAAAGCCAAGTCAACCTAATTATCTTTCAGATTAATTCCATTTTCTACTAATATTTTTTTTACTGGACTCTATACAGACTCAGGGGGATAACCTTCTTGTAAATTATTACATTTTTCCACTTCTAAGTTATTCTCAAATGTACCCAATCTCCCTATGTTAGTAAGAATGGGCTTGATAATTCTGGATTTGAGTCTCTGTTTATAATTCATGGGAAAGCCATTACAGCATTAATTGTTTTAAAAATAAATTAACCAATTCACTTAGTTGCCAAAGTCCTTACTTCACCTCAGTGTTATATATTTTTTCTCAGCACCACACTCTCCCGAGTGAGCCAAGGGCTGGCCCTTATTTTTTTCTCATCAAAATTAAAAACACATGCATTTATATTGTATCAATATATTTTAATAAATGAGGATTCTTTTTGTTGGTAAAATACTTTTTCATGAACTGCGGCATCGACCATGTACATCTATAATAATAATGGCACATGGGCAGATCTGGTGAAATCTGCCTGCCTGATTTCAAATCCAGGCTCTACTACTTTCCGTGTGACCTTGGGCAACTTATCTTTCTGAGCCTTTCCCATTTGTAAAATGGGTAGAACAGTTAAAACTATCTCAGAGTAGTAGGGAGGATTAAATATAATAATGTATAAATATTCCTTAGTATAGTGTCTCGCACTGAGTAAACACACTACATATGTTTTACATACTTGTGAACACATCCTGTCGCCTCAAAATGCCAATTCAACTCAGATACCCCTGCAAGGGAGAAAGCATGCTTAATTTGGTGCACAAACTGACCTGCAACTGTAAACTGACATTAGTATAAACAAAAAACTATGAAACTGGGAAAGGTCCCAAAGATCATCTAGGACAAACACCATTATTTATTAGATTGGGGTTGAGAGGGACAAGGATGGAAGTGACTTGTCCAAAGTCACACCTAATGGGGGCAGAATCAACATCAGAATGTAGGCTTTTCCATATCTTACAGGACTTAAAATGCTTTCTGATGATCAGTTCTAGATTTATCTTTTTTCCACCTCTACACTGTTGAATTATCATTACTATGCTATCATTACTATGCTAGTTTGCCTACATTTTATATAATCTAAAACAAGCATATGAATTACTGGCCCCTTAAAAATGCTTTGTTATTATTACTACTGGATTGATTTCAGTCTACTACTAAAATGGAAGTTTGTTAGGGGCAGAAAATGTGCCTTATTCTTATCCATATTAGCTGAAGCCAAGTACCACCCACTTAGCAGGCATTCATAGGTTTCTTCATTTCAAATTCACAATGGTGGGGAAAGCAGTAAGACCAAAAAATAAAAAATAATAAAGCAAGTCTCCTAATTATTACTTCTAGGTTAACCATGTACTTTAAGAGGCTCAGAAGGATGGCAGATTATCAGTCATCTAGACAGCCATCCTAAGTACTAGTACTCTCACTTCTATTAGGCTTGAATTTCCTAAATGGAATTAAGTCATATGTTTGAGTCAAGAAATTTGAAACTTAAGCAAGTATAGTTACAGTAAGGTAGTAATAAAAGAGGAACCGAAAAGCAGTTGCAGTGTTCACTGTTATGTGTTCGACTTCCCTAGAGAAAACCAAAGAAGGAATAACTAATTCAGAGATGATTGGTGAAACTTTCTACATTCTCAGTCTTAAATTTGATTCTGTTTTCCTGGTTATTGCTGGGAACAAAAATAAATTATCTGTGTAACTTTCTTTGGCTAAGTCTTTTATCATCAAATTAGCTGTTGTCTATATTTAGAAGCACAGTCGCATGACTAAAATTAAGGTGTCTCAGGTCCTTGATAAGCTTGCTCAGGAAAGCAGAATAGCTGAGCCACCATGAACTTATCTCAGGACAGGAAACTGGAAAGAAGCACAACTGTCATTATCTACCTTGTAACTTTCAGTCAACAGCTTGTTGCATGAAAGTTCGGAGACGATATTCTTTCACAAGGGCTGGGTGGTTGGCTCAGGTGGTTAGAGCACAGCCTTGTAACACTAAGGTCATGGGTTCAGATCCCTGAACTGGACAGCTGCCAAAAAAAAAAAAAAAAAAACCCAAAAGAACCATTCCTTTACAGACTTCCTCCAAATACTTTCACATAGTGAAGAATGTAAATTTAAAGTACACTTTGAGTCTTGAAGTGGTACTGATAACACCAAGATCGAGGGTTCGCTCCCTGTACCTGCCAGTCACCTAAATAAATAAATAAGTAAAGTATACCTTGAAAATGTTTAATTGGCCTAATATATAGCTCTACACAAAACAGGTTTGTATGAAGAAACATTAACTCAAAAGGCTGGCGATACCGTCAAACACAGCAGGAAGGCTAGGCTGTGTAGAGATTTTAGTGCATGTTTTGGGTAGAATAGGGAAGAAAGGAACCAAAGTACAGCTTAACTCTAAAATAACTGAGCAACTGAAAGAACTCAAAATGGAACTAAGTGGATGCAAGCTATTTAAAGTGGGGGTAAGGGCAAAACAAGGTGGCGAGAGCTAAAAGAAGACTTAAGGATAGGTAATATAGAGCTAGTCAGGGTAAGTCAAAAGATCCTATTTAAGACCAAAAGAGAGCTAGTGTCATTTTATGGTCATCCATGTATTGACCACTCCACTAGATCTGGAAGCAACTTGAGGGCAGGCACAGCAGCTTAATAATCTTTGTAACCTCTTAGCATTTATTTTTTCAGATTTCATTGAACTTTATTATGATCGGATAACCTCACCTCTTAGCCTTTAGTAGAATGAAGGGTATATGTCATTTTTCAGTACATTCTTCAGCATGCACAATAGTTGTTAAGCAGATGTTCAAAGAAAGGCTCTGCAAGGATCAGAGCTTGAAAGCTCACAAGTTTGGAGGGAGTCAAGCTGTCTACCAACACATGGGAAAAGGCTAAACTGATTACTGAAAGAGACAAAAAGTCTGTCTCTCTTTGAAGACTTCTACCCCAGAATGGTACCTATAATATTTGTGGACAGAGTATAACGACCGCAGTCTCTTATATTGGTTTTAAGCTTTAGAGTTAACAAAGTACAATTTCGCAGCTATTATTCATTCAACGGGCACTTCCTGAGCACTCATTCTGTGCAAAGTACGGTGCTGAACGCTAGAGAGAGATGAGCAACATAAGGTGGGTAACGATAGAGGCAAACACGCCTAGCTGCAGGAATAAGGAAGAGAAAGCAATTTATTCTGCCTGGGTCTGTGGGAGAAGGAAAAGCACGAAAAAGGTGACATCCGAGCTGGGACTTTAAGGATGCTGGCGCTGACCCACCGGGGCCTGGTTCTAAAGTCACCGTCTTGTCCACGGAGAAGAGAGTCTCATATCGGCCCCAGCTGACTTCTGCAAAAACTCTGAGGCAAGCACTGTCACCGGCAATCACCCCTATTTTCACCGGGGAAACTGTGGCCAGAAAAGGAGATGCCGGGTCCAGAACCAAGATCGACAGACTCAGCACAGTTGCGCGCTCTGCCCAGATTTAAGACACGTGGAACACCGGAAAGTGGTAAGGGTCTGGACCCGGAAGTTGGGAAGAAGCCGAAGAGACCCCCCTCCAACCATCCGCCAGTCTCTCTCAGCCCACGCTTCTCTGTCACTCACCCGCCGCTGGGCGAGAGGAAGTCGGTGTCGTCCTCGTCCCCCGCACCGAACATTGCGTTGGTTTTCGCCGGGTGCTGGGAAAGAAACCAGATGTCCCTAGGTACTGTCACCACTGGCGTCGTAAAATGCCGCGGCGGAGTGCTGCTTTCCGGCAGGACGAACTTTCGCAGCGTTACTTGGCCGAGAGGAGACTAAGAAGGCGGGACAAAGGCAAATAAAATGTAAGCGCGGGCAATGGCGCCGGGTGACGTGCCCTCTCCAGCCGCAGAGTGGGCGGAGCTCTGGAGTCCTGTGGGAGGGTTGGTCGGCGAGGCAGGGGGGGCCGGGCAGCGGTGGGAATCCGCGGCCTCGGTGGCAGTCTTGGACACGTCGAGCGGGCAGAAGTGGAGGGAGCTTCTTAGGGCTCGTGGGGGGCTGACGGGCTAAGATTCTGACAGGAAGACTTCGGTGGCGGGACTTGACCTGAGAAGGTAAGGCCTCCCCCGTCCCCTTTCGCAACCCTGGCATGAGCACCGTCCCTTCGCCTCCGGGACAAGGACCCTACTCGCCGCTCTTCTCAGCTCCGCAGAAGAGCCTGGGACTGGAAGGCTGGAGACCTGAGCTTCGGACCGGCCCCTACGGTGACATAGTTGGAATGTCCTTGGGGCAATGTGCTCGGTGACTCAGTTTCCCCGTTTATGCAACGGGCCATTTGGCCATTGCTTTCATGTGCCGGCTGGTCAAGAAGCTATTAGACCTCAGAGTTATCGAATTAAATCTGGTCTTTTCATAAGCCCAGAATTTACAGAGAGGGAAACGAAGGAATTAAGCACTTGGGTGACTAGTCCGACGTCACACACGGGAAAGGGCAGTCTGGGACTGGATTCCTCGTCCTTTGATTCAGGACTTAGTGAGCTGGTGGGTGAACAAGAACCGTACCAGCCCTTAACTCTATGTGAATGGTGATTGCTAGACTGGCATACACCTTGGGGAAAGTTCCCTTTCTAGAGTCCACCTCTATTCTATGCAAGTGAGGCGCAGAAGAGCTTGGATATTCTGGGGGTGGGTGATGGAAAGGAGGAAACTTTAGAGGCAGAAAATCCCCAGCCCAGCGTTGGCCTGGGTTTTGCTGAGTCTTCCCACGACAGTCCTAAATCACCATCAATTGTTGCCGACTCCTCTGTCTCCAAGTTTCCACCCTCTCTGTATCTTACATAAGTATTTCTTTGGTTAATCTGCTGTCATTCTTGGAATAATCTCTTGGGGTAGGCCTGGCTTAGCCAAGGTGTGGGTAAGCAGGCAGTGTCTCAGTGTAGCGTCCATTTCCACATATCTCAATGGAGTTCTTTTTAGTCAGCGTTTACCCTTTCAATCAGGTTGGTTCTACAGGTGTCCCTTACCTGAATGTTTTCATCTGTTAGCATGAAATTAAAGTGATTGGTAGCTCCCTCTCAGAGAACTTTGCACCTCTTGGCACGTTTCCTGTTCCTATTGTAGTTTGCATACTACTAAATGGTAAGCCTTCTTGCCCATAATGGGTACCTATTAATTCTTTATTACATCGAATAATGGAATTCATCCTTGTTCCCTTGTTTTTTGGTTTACAATCTTAGGATTTTTTTCCCGTGTGACCCAGAGAGCCCAGAGATGGCTCTTTCACCTTTTATAGGTAGCTTACACAAAGATAAAAATGCTGTACTGGCTGTGAACTGTGTGGGTTGCTTAGTCTCTTTTGTTAATTGAAGTTGATTGTACTATTATCTAAAGCTCTAGGGGAGAGGGTGAAGAGGAATTGGATAGCTAGAAATATTATATGTAACTATAATTTTTTAAGTAAATTATTCTTGTTTAACTGAGGATAGGTCTATTGGTTCACTTCTTGTGTTTATTTTACAGATTAAGATGGTTAAAGCAGTTAAGGCTGACAGTAGCAATGATGCAACTGGAATCTAAGCACTAGTACTGGAAACCTGTTGTAGTAGCTCTGTTTAGAATGTGAACTTGGCTACCTCTCAGGGAGAAAAAAAAATGAACTGAATAATTACCATAGCCCTTCCTAACCCCTGTCCTCAGTATTGGTCACTGTCATTCCCGCACGGAAACATCTGAGTAGTGCTTTTAAAAAAATGCCAAGAGAACGTTTGAGTTCTTATCTTGCTTTCTTTTGTGGAGGTGTTTTTATCCAGAGTGTTTAAGTAGCCTTCTTAGATATTCAGGAATCCTAAAATCAGTAGCCTTTTTGGTGATTGGACACTACAAACACGCATACCCAGATTACCATTGTGGGAACACAGCTGCTAATTCTCATTGGCATTATGAGGAAGGGAAAGATGGTGGTGAGTCTTCCTCGGCCTTTCAGGCTTTGAACTGCAGGATTTAATGCACTTAAGAAGCCGCCGTGTCTCAGCATGTTTCCTCGGAAAAAGAAAAAGAAAAGCCAAACACCCCCCCCACTGTCTTCCTGAATTAGATTATCTACAGATTGGTCGTATCAGACTAGGAATCCTGTCCCAGCTCTTGTTCTAACTCACTGAGCTTGGGTCAGGGTCCCTAAATACTTTGTAAAAGGAGTGGATTAGACCTAGACATCTACTGAGTATTGTTGGGGATACAAAGGTAAGTAAGGCACAGTCTTAACCTCAAATTTGAATTAAGTATTTTTTGTTTATTTGTTTTGCTTAAGTACACAGCTTTTAGATATATTCATAAAATGTATTGACTCTTTGAAGGTTGACTGGGAAGCAGCAATTTTAACAATTCCTTTCAAATTATCAACAGTTTTGCAAGAGAGATGACAATTTTTATATACAAGTACTCCCATACTAATCAGTAATGGTGAATGTATTTTAAAATTAATAGTTTAAAGTTATGATTGTTAAATAAAAATTTTAAAATAAAAGTAAAAAATAGGAGGCCATTTTTTTGGACTAAGTTTCTGCCCAAGGCCCCAAAAGACCAGACTAAAAATAAGCCAATTGAGATAAACTTGTTGTAATTTTGTCCTCCACAGAAGAATACAGGTTATATCATAGGTGTGGTGTTAGGTATATGGATTGAATATAGGTTTGGGGTGATTGGTATTGTGTTCTCTTCACTCAGTCACTGAAAGCAGACTTTTTGGGCCATTAGTTAGTTAACTGAAAAAGTAAATTAAAGTAGGGAAAAATACAGATATTTGTTATATGCATATGTTAACATTTTATTTAAGCTGAAAACATAAGCATTCTTTTGCCATTCTTTTACATAAGGCCTCAGCCTTTTCTTGGAATGTGGGTTTCAAGGATTAACAGACTACATCTTGCAGGCCAAGTCTTATCCCAGCCTTTGCCTGTTTTTATGAATAAAGTTTTATTGGAACACAGTGTCTATGGCTACTTTCACCCTACAAGGCAGAGTTGAGTAGTTGCAACAGAAGTGGCGTGGCCCACAACACCTAAGACGTTTACTATTTGGCCCTTTACAGAAAGGGTTTACTAACCCCTGGTTTACTAACCATCATATATGGTATCTTTAACATGGAATGAATTCTTAAGTCACCTGCAAAGGAGTCTTAGAGTGCAGAATCTTTCTAAGTGTTTATGAAATTTACCCCCAGCCTTTACAGTTGCCTCTCCCACACCTGACAGCAAGTTTGTGTGTTATATGTGTGGCCTTTTTCCAGTCTTTCTGGAAGCATTCAACTGGGTTTTCACAGAGACAACTACTCGATAGGCTATGTAGTATAGTAATTAAGTTCTTAAGCTCTAGCATCAAAGTGCTTTGCCACTTATTTGTTGTGTAGGCCTTGTGCAAGTTGCTCAGTTTCTTCCTTTGTAAAATGGAGAAATGATAGTATTCATTTCCTACGGTTCTTGTGAAGATTGTGTGAGTTAATTCATGTAAAGCACTTAGAACAATTCTGTTAGTTAGTACTCAATTAATGTTAGTTCTGTTATCATTTTCTTTTCTCGTTGATGTCATTGTTTTACATAATATAAATTATATATTTACAATAATAAGAACAACTGGCATAAATTGTTTGTGAACAACCACGACTGACACCCTTGATAAGCACACAGCTTCACTGAGGGGGGACAGAAGGGTTGCCCTGACATATTGCATAATAGCCTAGTAAGTATGTTGTCAGTTCAGGTGGTTAAGAGAGTTCTGTGGGATAGCTTGCTAAGCATATAAGACAACAGTACACACAAGGAAGTAGTAGATTAAAATTGTAAAGGAGGGGGTCGGCCCATGGCTCACTTGGGAGAGTGTGGTGTTGATAACACCAAGGCCACGGGTTCGGATCCCTACATGGGGATGGCCGGTCAGCTCACTCTGGAGAGCATGGTGCTGACAACACCAAGTCAAGGGTTAAGATCCCCTTACCAGTCATCTTAAAAAAATAAAATAAATAAGATAAAATAAAATTGAAAAGGAATCCAGGGTCCATATTTGTAAAATACCTTGAAGGCCAAGGTGACAATTTTATACTTAGATCATTAGGAAATGGAATTTTTTATTTTAAATAAATGTAAAAAAAATCCACATGATTGATGTGAAAAAATTCAAATGGCTTAGCAATGTATGAATTAAAAAAGTTAAAGTTTCCCCAGCCCCATTCCATGTCAGTAGCCAATTCATTTTGATAATCGTCCTTAGAACATGGGGTTGTTGCGAGGATTGAATGAGAGAAGGCATGGTAAACACTACTTAGAGCACTGGTACTAATCTCTTTAAAATTTCAATACAGATTTCACTTGGATTATAATCTCAATTTTGAATTGAGAAAAACAAGGTTCTACACTGAATGGAAATAAAATGAAATGACGGCTCTGAAAGTAACAGTTTATACAGTACTCAGGAGTCTCTGATTTTGTCTATTTTTCTCCCTTGTTTCCAACTTGGCTCTACTGTTGATTCCTCTTTGTGCCTTCTCAACCAGAAGTGCTACAAGAGAGAAAAAGATGACATAAGCATCACTAGCAAAGCAAAGCATTTGCAGTGACAAGATGAGTTCAACTAGTAAAAGATGTCAGATAAGTCAGTGACCAGGTAGCACCCAGATAACTACCATTTAAAGTTGGCAAGGCAGTCATGACTGGAGAAGAGGGAGGGAGGAAGGTGGGAAGTTGCCGGTGCATGTACTCCCATATGCTGCTCTTAGCATAACAAAGACATTTTAAAAACTAAGAAGTTCTCTGTAGTTTTGTGACTGAGTATGACAAGTCATTAAAAGTCTAATACTTGGGGCCGGCCCGGTGGTGCACTGCTACAGTGCGCCGCTTGGGAAGTGCGGCGGCGCTCCCGCCGAGGGTTCGGATCCCACATACAGACCTGCCGCTCACTGGCTGAGCGAGGTGCGGGAGCAACACCGAGGGTTGCGATCCCGTAGCCGGTCCCGGTCCGGTACGGGCGCGACACTGAGGGTTGCGATCCGTTGCCGGTCATGAAAAAAAAAAAGACAAAAAAAAAAAAGTCTAATACTTAATTCGTTACAATGAGCAGTTTATGC